CTTCCTGACCACCGTCCTGCCCTGTCTCTCCTGCTCCTCCACACCCCCCGCCGTCCTGCACACCCGCCGACGCATCACCCTCTCGTCGGATCTTGCACGCACGTGTAACTCGCGATTTCGTTCGTTCACCTTTAACGAAAGGCGGTATTTTCGTACGCCCACCGGAGCGACAGAGAAAGGGAGACAGAGAGATACGCGGGAAGAGCACAAGAGCAAAACGATAGAGGGAGAGAGAGAGAAAGGGAGACGAAAAGGGTGAGAAAGAGTAAGAGAGAGAACGAGAGGTGGGTGGGGGGAGGAGGAAAGAGACAGAGAGGGAGAAAGGGAGGGCCTTTTCTAAGCCCGAGGCACATACCGACAGGGATGGACGCGCGACGACCGCAGACCACGGGTCACCCCCGTGGAAGAGCTTTTGATCTCGCCTAAGACACCTTTTTTCGGGCTCTCTTTTTCTTTTCTACCTTGCTACTCCTTTTTTTTTCCTTTTTTTTCTTTTTTTTTTCGTTTAACAAGCCAAGGGACTCGGACGGTCGCTTCTGGAGGAAGGTCGAAAGCCGGTGACGGGCGGCGGCGGCGGCGGACTGTTTCAAGGCGGGGAGGAAACACAGCGATGGGGTAGTTGACGAAAAGTTCGAGGGTCGTAATGCGGTGCAGTTAATTGCGAAGGGAATTTGGACTCGTTACGCGCCGCTACTTGCGTAAAAATGGAACACATTTACGCAGCGGTAATTAGCGCACGCGTGCTGATTTTTTTTTTTTTGCAGATCTAACGGGTATTACGCCGCGTGATCATCCCTTGTCAGCTTTATATCATCCCACGGCTGCTCGTGTTTACGCGTTTAAATCGTTTGTTGATCACAAGTGTCGTTTATATTTTCCTCTTTTCGAGAAGAGAACTTTCCCTTTCTTTCGCTAGACTGTTCATTTAGAACTGGCTGAAATCAACACACTACGTTTATGAAAAATAAATATCATTCGCGCGTAAAAATTAAACAATCCTCAACAAAGTGTTCCTGTCCGTTCGAACGGTACAAATTAGAGAAAGATGTGCGAGAGGGGGGGAGAAAATAGTTTCGTAAGGAGTGTGGCGCTCGTTGAACTGTGCACGGCCCTGGCCGGAGAAGCGTCAACGTCGTTGACTGAGCCGCTCTGGGCGCACGGCGCCAAAATCGATTTTGAAAAGGGAAAGTGGCATGTACGTGCCAGCAGCATGGCTTTACATATACAGTATGCGCACGATTCGCGACAAAAACGTGTAGGAGGTAAAACTGCAGCCGCGCCGAATAAAGGTTGCCAGCACACACCACGTATGCGCGCACACAGGGAACA